AGCTCGACTCCTCGACTGATCATCTTGCTGCTGATACGTAGTTTTGGCAAAACCAAAAGTGCCGTCCATTTTTGCAGTCTCAAGGTCAAAACACTCGGAAACAGAGAACCTCTCACATATAAATTAAAACAAGATCTGTGGCATGCAAAAACATAAGTTCTCCAAGATCAGTACAGCTGAACAACGAGAAGCCTAAAACCTAAGGTCTCCGTTGTTTGTCTTCCGGCCGTCGTCTCTACAACTACAATGGCAGCCACAGTGACGGTGGCGATGGCGAAGACGATGCTGCTGCTGCTGTTCATGATCAACATCGTTGCCATCACTAGAACGGATACCCTCATCTCAATCGGGTGGTAAGCCCCATCTCAATCGGCCACAGCGTCCGTCATAGGCTAGAAGTCAGTGATGTGAAGAGTTATCTCAATCGGGCAAACGGCTGTCACGGATGAATCTATCTCAATCGGGCCCTAAGTAAAGCCCGTCACCGATAGCTTTGACCCAAACGACCAGTCAAACTATAGCCCGTCACAGATGACCTATCTCAATCGGGCCACAATTAGAGCCCGTCACAGATGACTACTAACCTTTATCGGGCCTAAACTAGAGCTTGTTATAGATGATACTCATCTCAATCGGGCCTAAACTAGAGCCCGTCACAGATGAGTGCTGACCTCAATCGGGCCTAAACTAGAGCCCGTCACAGATGACTATTGACCTCAATCGGGCCTAAACTAGAGCCCGTCACAGATGACTACTGTCCTCAATCGGGCCTAAATTAGAGCCCGTCACAGATGACTATCATCTCAATTGGGCATTTAGTTATGACCCATCACAGATGACTATAATCCACAAAAAAAATAAATTTTGTTTTTTGGCTAGCCTTAGGCCTTTGCTAGCCATGCCCGCTGCATAAATAACAGAAACAAACACAGATATCCAATATCCCCAGCTCCCCAGCATCACCCATTCATATACATATGCATTCACATACACATACATCAATATATTTCACACAACCACACATTCACAGCCATCTCATATTTCACATCCATTCACATATTTCACATCCATTCAAATATTTATCATATTTCACCTGCAAAACCGATTTAATTGGATCAAATATTTATTTAGCAAGTCTTAACATAAACATATGAAATATATACATAAATATAAGCATCACAATTACATCATCACAGTTGTATAATAAGTGTTCATCATTGCCTAAACATAAAAGTTCAACATTGTTCATCATTTTAGTTTAAGTCTAAACATTCCTTTGAGGTTAATTATTTCGCGGAGGATGAAGCTGGCTATCTCCTCACGAACCTCCTCAAAGCTGGTAGGCAGAGACTTGTTTATTGTGCCCTACATTGTCATAATTCCAGATTAGTTGATCGATCATATATAAGTACTAAAATGTAGTTAGTCTATCACAATTGAGACCACCGACCTCAAACTCAGCCAAAGTCTTCACCTTATCTCTGTACAGAAGACGCATGTTGTGGCACACATGGAATCCGCACTGGTCACCTATTTGTTGCTTCACCGGGAAGTCCGTTTTGTGGATGAGGGTGTCATGTCCTGTCTTCCTGAGGCCTCCTCTTTGCACGTATTGGGCCCACGCTTCATCTATCGCTAGTTGAATTGGGGTCCAATCATTTGCGTTCTTATCAATTCTGGAGTTCAGGTAGTGACATGTACTCCACTTAGGTGTTATGACCAAAAGGATCCAATGGGCACTACGGCATTAATATAGTGAAAGTTAATTAAGTACTGAAGGAATGTGTCATGCTGTTGTGTATATTTACATAATACACTTACTATTGATTATAGGCGCACTTAATATTCATGTCCTGTACATCGAGGCGCGCGTTCAACCCGTCCTTTGTCTTCCCGGTAATATTCAACATCAGGCCAACCAAACTCTCACACACATTCTTTTCTACATGCATGAGATCAATGCAATGACGGACATCAAGATCTTTCTAGTAAGGTAGCCGCCAAAATATGGATTTTTTCTTCCAGATACCCTTCTCCTTTGTCTTGCTACGTTTTCTTTTCTTCCCAAACTCATTGCTTATGTCCTTGACCATATTGTGGACCTCATCTTCGGACAAATCTTTGGGAGCAGGCTGAAGTTCTCTCTTACCGTTAAAAATTTTCTTCTTTCTTCTAAATGCATGACGTAGCGGGAGCCACTTCCGATGACCCATGTATACCATCTTTCGTGATTTCTTCAGCCACCGGCTTCGTGTATGTTCCTTGCAATCGGAGCATGCCTTCTTTCCTTTTATAGTTTGTCCGGAAAGATTACCGAGTGCAGGGTAGTCATTAATGGTGCAGAACAATAGAACTCTTAGCTTGAAGTTCTCCTGACCATATGCATTCCAAGTTTCCACACCTTCTTTCCAAAGAATCTCTAGATCGTCGATAACAGGCTCCAGGAATACATTGATATCATTGCTGGGTTGCCTCGGACCTTAGATTAACAAGCACAACATAATATATTTCCGTTTAAAGCATAACCATGGCGGGAGGTTATAGTTCGCAATAAGAACTGGCCAAGTGCTGTGAGTACTACTCATGTCACCGAAAGGATTCATGCCATCCGTACACAGACATATCCTCATGTTTCTAGGGTCGGCAACAAAGTCTTTGTGTTTTCGATCGATATTCCTCCATTCAATCGAATCCGCTGGGTGTCTAAGCATATCGTCATTCCTTCTCTCTGTGGCGTGCCAACGTACTAACTTCACTTCGTTGGGGTTGGCAAAGATTCTCTTGAAACGATCAATGATAGGTAGATACCACACAACCTTTGCCGGACCACCCCTCTTTGACTTCTTTCCTTCGTCAGCACTTTTCTTTCGCTTGTATCGAGAAGCCTTGCAGACAGGACAAGCATCCAAGTCCGCATATTGCTTGTGGTACAATATGCAGTCGTTTGGACAAGCGTGAATTCTACGGACCTCTAACCCCAGTGGACACAGAACCTGCTTTGCTTTGTATGTCGTCTCGAGCAATGTGTTCTCAACAGGAAGCATAGCCTTCAAAATTCCTAAAAGATCTGTGAAACTCTTGTCTGTCCATCCACTACTTGCCTTCAGCTTCATTAGGTCCAAGGTAACTAACAACTTAGTGTGTTTTGCTTTGCATCCATCGTACAGAGGCGTCTCGGAATCACTGACCAACCTGCTGAACTTCATTCCATCTCTCTCATTCTGGGCTGGGTCCTCAACGTCACGTAACATGTCTTGCAGCAGATCGTAATCCACATCAACCATTTCACCGCCCAATGGAGAAGGTATAAACATGTCATGCTCATCTTCATCTTCCTGATTATGCGCACCACTTCTGTCTGCTGCTGCTCCACTTCCTGATTCTTGCTGTCCATGCTTCACCCAACAAGTATAGCCCTCCATGAATCCTCGTTGTATTAGATGACCGTGTGCGTCCTCTACGCTATCAAACATATTCTCATTCTTGCAATCTGCACATGGACAACACATGTAATCACTGTGTCTTCTTTTCCGATCCTCCTCCGTGGCGTTCATAAAATTTATTATGCCCTTTCTGTACTCCGTAGAATGACGTTTCAAATTTTTCGCATACATCCAACTTCGATCAATTGCTACAAAATAAAAAAAACAAATTACATGCACATCTTATAAGATCAGTATTGCAAAAGTAAGACGTGATGAAATTGCTCAATTAATGATTAATATTACTCACTTGATTGATCCATTCGGATCATTTTTGGGAATTTTCTGTTTTCCTTGGAAAAAAGACAAAAAATCGCCCCCTACAGCCTCCCACCAAAATAGTGAACAATGGGATACAGTTACACTAGGTGGTGGGGGGTATTTGTATTGTGCAACAAATATCTATAACGGCCCTAAAACAATCAACCGTGACGGGCATACAAGTAATCTCTATCGGGCCTTAATAAAAGCCCGTCAAAAAAGAGTGTCATCTGTGATGGGCATTAAACTTATCTCAATCGGGCCTCTAGTTGGAGCCCGTCACGGATGACACTTATCTGTGACGGGCCATAGTTGAGGCCCGATTGAGATGAGGGTTAATCTCAATCGGGCCTCAACTATGGCCCGTCACAGATAAGTGTCATCCGTGACGGGCTTTAGTTTTATGCCGATATACCATGGCTGTGCGACCATATCTCAATCGGGCGAAACTTCGGCTCGATTGAGATTACTTTCTTGTGACGGCCCGCAAATTCCAGTCTTATTATGGGCCGTCACAGATGGAAGGATCTGTACTAGTGCGTCTTCGCCGTCGCCGCGAGGCCGTTGGGAGAGGACGGCTGGCTGGTGTAAGGATGATGACGCAGATGCTTTGTGGCGCCAAATCAGGGCCCAGTGGGCGCACCGCGCACCAACTGCTGTTAGAACTTACATGTACCGCGCCAATTTCTAACAACCACGTACAAATGCAAGATGTAAATATATATGTCCATCAATTCGTCGTTCTTAATTTGTTTCTTTTCGTCGTCACTGTCGAAGAGGGATCAATGTTTGTTTGTTTTGGCCGTTGGACGTAACCGTGCATCAGCTAACCTTACGTTTTTGGCATCATTTGCAATAATCTTTCAGCATGTTTGGTTCTTAACTAACATTGGCATAACTCACTTTAGGCAATATTAGGCAAGTGTGGCTTGCCACACTTTTTGTGGCCTACAAATTGTACGCCACACTTGTGGCAAAGTTAGATAAAAGATTGAGTCTATGACGTGGGGTAAAATGGTAAAAAAGTGTGGCTTGCCATAACTAAGGTAATGAACCAAACACAAGGCTAAGGAAGTGTGGCAGCCAAAAGTGTGGTGTGGTAAGTTAAAGCATTGAACCAAATAGCCCCTTTATCTTTTTTTTATCTTTACTACTTAAAAAGTCTGTAGTGGTGGTCTTGATTCCTGATATAGTAGACGCATCTGACAGACACGTATAATATCAACCATTGGATCGTCATATCCAACGGGTCATCGCAGTAGATTGCCATCGTGCGCATCGCGCTAACGGTTTTTCCGCTCCACTCGCCACGCGCGCGGACGGTTTCTCCGCCCCAATCGCCACCACCGCCGACTCCTCCTCCGCCCACCTGCCTCCTTCGCTCCAGATCACTGCCAACGACTCCTCCTCCGCCCATCGCCCCCGCCGGTGATGCTGCCGCCGCTGATGCCCCCGCATCCGACACCACCGCCGCGGAGTACGCTTCAGATCCCCTCGCTTGGCCTATTCCTCCTCCTGCCCACTGCCAACCCCTCCCCCCCCCTCCCCGCCGCCGATTCCTCTCACCGAGGCGCTCTCATCCCTCCCCTCCCCATCGCTGGTCCTTCCATCACGCCACCGATGCCTCGCCTGAGTCCGTCGAAGACACCGCGTCTCCACAATCCCCACGCCTCGAGGCGGCGTCTATCTCTCACGCAACGCAACTCCACCAATCCTGCATCTCCTACTGTGCCGATGGTAACCTACCAATTTATCCCTTTTCCTTGATTTTGTGAAGTCAATTTCTGAGTCTGGTATGGAAATAATGCGGATCTGTGTACTGTCTTTTCGTTTCGCTGTTTCATCCTGATCCCGTCGAGTTATGTGCAGGGGAGGTTTTTCACGAAATGTGCAAGAGGGGACATCTGGGTGCTTGCCGCGACGTCTGATGCTGAGCTACTCGGACTTGCCGAGATCATCAGCGCTGCGTCTGTGATGTGAACGGTGACGGTGCTAATCTCGATAGCATGCAAATTAGTAAGTAATTGATTCGTTGATTTGTAGTTTGATGCAAATTATTCTCGTGCCTAAACCGCAGCCTCCTCCTGTCCCATGCACTGCCAATGACACTATCCCTGACCATTCCACAATACAACTCCTTGTGGACCACCAGGAAATTGCAAGTTGTCATTTGAAGGTACCGCCTGCCTGTCGTTCTCACATCAGCGTAAATCCATGCAATTTTGATCTTTGTTCGTTGATTTCCAATTGAAATTAATAGAGTCATGGCGTAACAAAGAGAGGGTAACCCAGTTCAGCATCATAAACTGGGAAAGGAGGTTAACTCTGCCAAATTTCATGAATCAAGCCATTCTTAGTTACTGTTGTTACTGTTTATTCCTTCTAAGATTGGGGTAGGGTTTCAGATTATTTTCCTAAACATTTTACTCCAAAATAATTCAGTACATTTGTTATAGGACATTGTATGTCTCCTTGTACCTCCATTTGAGGAATAGTTTAGGGTCTGTGATTAACCAGCTAATTCACCTGATTGGCTGATCTAACATGTTTTGAGTATTTTTCTGAACTGCATAAAAGTACATTGACCTTTATATGCATTTTTTACAGTTCAATGGATTTACTCTGCAGTCTGCACAATATGTTCGGTGTCTTTGCAAGCAGTTGACTTTGATACAGAAATGTACATGAAACCCAATGGAAATTTCTGTATTCAAATTCTAGGTACATGAAGTATTTTCTCTTCAACAATATGGGTCACATTGTAACCCGCAAAATACACGTCCAAGAAATGCAAGATGGGCTTTGATTGTCAGTCCTTCATGTATGATGCCCTAGCAATGTGAATATTTTGTTATGGTTTTGAAATGACTGATTCTAGGGGACATGTCGTCCTGCGATGCGATGTGTGGTTGGATGGTACTCCCTCCGTCCCACAATATAAGGGATTTTGAGTTTTTGCTTGCAACGTTTGACCACTCGTCTTATTCAAATTTTTTTTGCAAATATAAAAAACAAAAAATTGTGCTTAAAGTACTTGTCTGCTTGAGTTGCACACACTTTGTTTAATAGGTTTTATCTTTTATGGAGCTTCCAGACATTGAATTTTGTTGAGCACATAAACACCAGACATGTTTTACTGTTTGATGCTGGTGCCTGTATCCAAAACGCTCAATAATATTTTTTTACCATGTCCTTCACTGAGTTACTAATTTTGGTAACATGTCCTTCAATGAGTTACTGATTTTGGTTAATAGGAGGCTTTTGTGCTCCCGAACAATTTTGTTTGGCAAGTCAAGTATTGGTATTAGCATTAGAAGGAATTATTTTATTTATTACTGTAAGGTTTTATTCAACAATTTTTGTTGTTTTTGTGAAAAAAATGAAGATATGATATAACAACTGTGTGCTATATGGCTGTTTGGAAACAGGGAAACAGGGACATATTCTATGTCCCTATCACATCGGATGTTAGAAAACTAATTTAGATTATTAAATATGTCCCTATCACATCGGATGTTTGAAAACTAATTTAGATTATTAAAAAGTTTTAGCACCATCTAAACAGCCCCTAAGGTCTTCATTACAACAAACGTACACTCTAATTATTTAACATAAATTTACTTCGTGTTATTTAAAGTTGATGCATATATTTTTCTTGTTCCGTTGCAACGCACGCACGGACACCCTACTAGTAGTGTACAAATTTACACGGGACCCAGTGTAGATAAAAAGATATTACCTTAGATTTGATAATTCATCGTTTACAAGGTCTCCAAAAGCTGGATTTTCACAATTTGGTCCTTTTAAAAATCTTATTTTGCAAATAGACCCTAAAAAACTTATCCTAAAAATGGTCAATTTTAGAACGCCAGAGTCACTAGCGCCGTCATCCAACGGGATCTGGTGCCGTCCTCCTGCCGACATGGCGGGGCGGTGCTGAGGTGGCAGGGCAAGCGCGCCACTGTGGCTGGCGCCACCCCACCCCCCACCCCCCGAAATTTTTTATTTTTTTTTATTTTTTTGATATTTTTTTCACGCTTAGGAGCACACAAGAATCAATCATTGAAAAAATAAATTCAAATGGACGAAATATGTGACCTGTTGTAAGTTCAAGTGTCTTAATTTGGTTTTGGTGATTAATGACAAATCTAATAATATGAGACTAACGTTTTTATGAGCTTTTCTTTGACTAGTCTCGTTTGGATATGAAAATAAAAATGATGAGAGGTATGTATTAAACTTCACATATTCTAACTTGGTCTCTCTTGTGGATCCAAAATATAGTGTGAGCTCCGTCATTAATCTTGATTGATTATGTGCATATGTGTTCCTTTATATCCATATGTATGCACATCTTGAGGGGGAGATTATTCTATATTTTGTTTATTATAAGATCTCTACCTTGATTTGAAATCATCTTTCATCCCATCTCTCTATATTGTTTATATCGGGTTATTATCTATCACCAAAAAGAGAAAAGATTGAAAGATCTTAGATTAAACAATTTGTGTAATTGTTACTTTGATGATAGATGATAAACCGATGTTTATGGGATTAACCTCTCTTTTTCATAAGTTGTTAACTAGGTTATTTCCCGATGATAAGATGTGGTAGATATGTATTCTTTGGTGATGGACCTTAATCATGATAAGGATGAAATGCATGGAGATAAAATGATATGTACCACTTCTTATCTCCTACTTTTTGATAGGTTCATATATATGATTTCCATGTTATTGTTATATAAGTGTGAGACTAATGTTTACTCGAGCCGTATCTTATTCAGTCTCATTTACATTAAGAACATGGAGATCATGAATGTATATGTTTTATGTTGGTCTACATCTTTACTACATATGCCTTCTCTATGTGTATAGGATAAACCCCCATTGGTTATTCTCTAATTATGCATACACTTGCATCTCTTGTATATTTATTTGTATGCATATATTTAGGGGGGCAAATCCTATACATTTATTGTGCATGTTCTAGATCCATGTTGTTCACCTATTATTTATATCGGATCTTTGCACTTAAGGTTGCATACGAGTATATGACACTTGTGATGTTAATGAATACTCAACAAACATATCCATATCTTTCATATGCAGCCGGTTGGTCATCAAGTGAAGGATGACAACCGATTTGTTGAGACTAATGTTCTCCTTTGAGATTTGAAAAGGAATAGGTCCCACTATGATGAGGCTAATAGATGACACCATGGGTTAATGGTCACCAAGCCAAGGACATCGCCATGTTGGCAAGAATGAAATCAAGCTTGTGATGAGAAGAAAGTCTTGACAAATGATGGTAAATACCTTGGTATAAACATGGTTGAATCAAATGGTCACAAGTGTTGATCTCGACTCAAGCTTGACCCCAAGATGGATGGCGCAAAGCAAAGGTATAATGTAGCTAAGAATGTTTTCTTAGTCTTTTCCCGGTCTTGTTGTTTGGTGTAGACCGGATTTGCTAGATAGGCACCGTACTATCAAGAGGGGTTTATGAAGCGAGCTTGTGGATGATCTTGTGCCATATTAGTTCATATGCATATAGGTGTATTTGGTGGGCTTGTCTAGCCAAGTGTGGTGAGTTTTCTTAAGTCCTAAACAAAGAGAGATATGGGCAAATCCTATAGGTTTGGGTAGCCTCATGTGGTTATGTCTGGTAGAGTATCCTTTGGAGTGTGAGCCCTTTCTCCCTAAGAAAAGTTGTGTTTCTTGGATGGATTGTTCATGGGTTGGATAGCCCTTTGAAGAATCTTTCCATAAAGTCCAAGAACGCCAAATTCCGAGACCCGAGTCAAGAGATATCGTCGTTTTACTAGCAGTCGGTTGAGCTGAAAAGTGACCTGCGGTCTGACCGTGGGCCTTAGGCCGGTCTGACCGGCCCCACTGATCTGTTGCACTGGTCTAGTTTTTTGTGGCGATACAGAGCCGCCAGAGCCGCAACCGGTCAGGCTGAGCCGACGGCGGTCTGACCGAGCCGTGGACGGTCTGACCGGCCACTACACTGCGGTCAGACCTACCAGGTTGAGTGGGCTCAATGATTGCCATGTAATGGCTAGTTTTCTAGCCGTTACAAAGTAGTCCGGTCTGACTGGCCTCACAACAGCGGTCTGACCGGCAGAGCACAGAGTTGGGGATTTCGGTTCCAACGGCTAGTTTTGGTGGTTGGGGGTATATATACCCACTCCCCAGCAGCAAGGGTAAGGTTTTGGCACTCCATTGTATTATCTTAAGCCCTTGCAAGAGCTCTCACACCCTTGTGCACTTAGTTTATCTAGTAAGGTGTTAGAGAGTGAGTTAAGCCAATCCAAGTGCATTGCTTCATTGTTATAGCTAGTGTGGCACTTGATCATCCTCAGCAAGCATCCTAGACTTGTTACTCTTGGAGGTTGCCGCCTCTTAGACGGCTTGTGTAGGTGTTGCCCGGTGACCTCTCCGAGGAGATTGTGGAGGAGGCCCGACGCCGTTTGTGAATGGTTTGGAGTTCACCACCTTCGGAGTGAAGGAAGAACTACCCCGAGTGATCGAGGCTTGGGTAGTCCTCTCCGTGGGCCAGCTCCCGCCTTGCCCACACATTAACGAAGGGGGCGTGCGGTGGCTTCGTGGTTGAGCGGTGGAGTTGGGCTCGCCTCAACGGGGATTAGGAAACCGACGAGTTTCCGAGCCACGGTGAACAATTCCTTGTCTCTTGTCTGATTTATTTGTTGCATTTATATTTGTGCTATTTACATTCATAGAGACATATTTGAGCCTATATCACCTAGGTTTGCAAAACTTAACTTAGTTGCTTAGTTAACCTTGCACCTTACCTTGCCTAGCAACTTAGATTAGTTTTGTTTAAGTGCCATTAAGTTTTAAAACCGCCTATTCAACCCCCTCTAGTCGGCCTCCTTGATCCTACACCTGTGAAATTTTCTAAAGCTCTACCAAAAAGCTTCTCACCTTAAAAACACAATCTTGCAAGCGGAATTTGGAGGTTTTAATTTCACCGAACCCAGATGTAACTTTTTCTGTAGATGTCCGTGGATATATTATTTGCCTAATTCCGAGTCCATATGAGAAAGTTATGCCTATTTTAAGAAATGACACCCGAATGACACCTATTTTCGGTAGAGATTTAGAAAATTCTACAAGTCACATATTTCGTTCATTTGAGTTTATTTTTTCCAGGGTTGTCTCTCCTATACACTATAGAGAAGAGAGGAAAAAAATGGCAGGGGGGTGCGGCGCCAATGTGGCTGGCGCGCTCCCCCGCCACCTCAGCACCACCCCGCCACGTCGGCAGTAGCTGGTGCCGTCCCATTGAACGATGGCGCCAGTGACTCTTGCGTCCCAAAAAGGACCATTTTTAGGATAAGTTTTTTCAGGGGTCTATTTACGAAATAAGTTTTTCAAAAGTACCAAATCGTGAAAAATCTAGACTCCAAAAGTACATATCTTGTTACTATAATTTTCTGATATATTACTTATAAAAGTAAACTAATATTAATTTCAATAAAATATTTTATAAGACTAACCTATATGTATATTGTTCTAGGGTAATAAGTACTACAAAAGTTAATCAAGATACCGGTTTTCCATTAGCTGACCCATTATTAAACAAACTTTGCCAAAATACTCTAAATTAAATATGAAATTATATCCGTTTGTTTTTCATTTGTTGGGATCAATGTGCAACCATGGACATAGACCTTAGGTTGATCATCATGTCTTCCTTATTTTGACAGTTGCTATAATAGGAAGCAAGTTGTATCCTTCTCAATCAGGTTTGTTTCGGAAAATTATATTTTTTATGTGTTTTGTGCAACAAAGAGAAAAAAATATATGATGTTATATGAACATAACTAGAAAAAAGGTGCCTATTATATAATAGTGCCATTAAAGATAATTTCATTATTAGTAATATTCATTGTGGAAAAGAGATTGAATGATTGCACTAGACAAGATAATTTCATTA